TGAAATAATATAGGGGCGGCCGGTTGGCTCAGGTGGTTAGAGCGCAGTGCTCATAACACCAAGGTTGCCAGTTTGATTCCCACATGGGCCACGGAGCTGCGCCCTCCACAACTAGATTGAAACAACTACTTGACTTGGAGCTGATTGGTCCTGGAAAAACACACTGTTCCCCAAATAAAAAAAATTTTAATGTTTTAAAAAATATATAATGTGTAAACTCTGAAAATTAGACCCTCTCCCTTTCCCCGCGGGTTGTTGCATCTGGTGCTGTTTACTTGTTTTTTTTTACCTCCTGGACTAATTCTGTATTAAGGTCAGTATCTTTTGTTGTGTGAAGCCACTGTAGCTTTTGGTAGCTTACCTTAGTGTTCAGATCACGATTGGACAGTGATTTCATGAAACATTTGGAACCAGTAAGCCTCCCAGCCTTTGCTGAAGGGCTTTGTGTGTGTATTCTGGCATGCCTTCAACATTTAGCCAGGCAGTTTACCACTCTGCCTTAATTCACCATTCTCTCCCTGCGTGTGCTGGGTCTCAAGGTCAGCCAGAAGTGAGAGGTTAGGGCCTTCTCAAGCCTCTCGGGGACATACACACAGCCTGGGGTGTGCACACATTCCTGTGCATGTACCCACCTTTGTAGATTTCTAGGAATAGGCTGCAGTTTGTAAGCCCTCCATGGGCATGTTGTTCTCCAATTTGTCATTCTTTATTTTTATCCCAAGTGCTTTGGTCAACCTCTTGATAACTTCAACCCGTACATCACCTCAGGGCAACACAATTTTGAACAACTTGAGATGAGTGCTTTTGACAAATGATCCAATGACAGCACTGTTTACACAGAATGAGCTTTGGTCAGGACAAAGGCAAGCCCTAGGAATGGACCTATCAAAATGAACAAATAGCGGTAATAATCTGAGGGGGGCCTTGTGACACTCCCACCCAATTCTGTCTCATCCAGGGGCTGCCGAACTGTTAGTTTTCAGTGCTGCTGCAGAGCGGGGCAGAGGGTGATTTCATTAGGGTACCTTAATGCCCCATGCAGCTCACTATTCCTATCAAGTTTCAGTCTTTTGTCTTGAATACACAGCCTTCAGATGGTTAAGCTTGAGTTAATTTAGAGAATATTCGTAATACACATATATGACCAAAACTTGTGTCCAGAATTTATGAAGAAACGTTATAGCTCCAAAATAATGAGACAAACAATCAAATTCGAAAGTGGACAAGAATTTGAACATGCCCTTCATGAAAAAAAAAGATTACAAGTGTCCTATAAGTATATACTAAGATAATCAGCACTGTTAGTACTCAGGAAAATGCAAATTAAAATTACAGTGAGATATCACTATACACCCAGCAAAATGGCTAAAATTAAAATGTATGTGGATCAACTGAAATTCATTAGACCACTAGGTATTTACTTGGGAGAAATGAAAACGTATGTCCCAGAAAGGCTTATACATGAATGTTTAAAACAGCTTTATTGACAATAGGGAAAAACTAGAAACATCATGAATGTTCACGAATAGGTGAATGAATGAATGAATGAATGAATGATGGCATATTTATCCAATGGAATACTACAGACACAAAAAATGAATTTCTCATTGATGTATTTACAAGACACTGTGCAGACAAAAATAAGTTAGACATAAGACAGTATATTCTATAAGATTCCAAAGAAAAGTAGTGATTAAAAGGAAATTGGTATCTATATAATATTAGTTAATTAATTAATTAATTAATCCTCTTTATATTCTAACTCATTCCCACAAAGCTTCAATTGCCTAAAAAGCATTACACAACTACATGCTAGAATGAGTAAGGAAAAGGTGAGGGAAAAACATCATAGAGGACACATGAATACATTAGAAAGTGGTGGAGAGAGAACCCTCAAAGATGGTTTGAAAAAGTTATGAGATCACGGGTTGGTGGACAGGAATAGGGAAGCATTGGGGAGGAAAAAATGATGAGCTTACATGGTTTGGAATGATGCAGTGAATTTTAGGATGATAAGGAAATAAATGTTCCATACATTACAAGCACTTCTAAGTGATCTGTTGATTCTTTGGAGTCCAGAAGTTACCAAACTCATTTATCTAAAATATATGAGTCTTCCGGTCAGGACAGCGGAGTAAGTAAACACTGTACTTGCCTCCTCCTGCGACCACATAAAAATTACAGCTAAACTACACAACACCCATCATAGAGAATCATCTGAAGTCCAGCTGAACAGAAGTCCTATAACTAAGGATATACAGAAAAAGACATGTCGAGGGTGATTCCTAAAATACTTTATTTAGCACATTATGGACTCTGAGGAATACTGAAGTTCAATAAAATGTAACAGTTTAATCTAAATAAATATAAAATATACAAATCTTTCCTGGCACTTTCCTCAGTACAGAGGCCAAATAAATAAGACCTTCCCATGAAGAGCTGTTAACTTATAGTTGTTCATATTTATGAATGTAATTTATCTGCATTGTCTCATTTCTTGTTTGTTTATAAGGTAAGAATAGTAATACCTACCTTTGGATAGTTGGGAAGAGTAAACGAAGACATGCTTCTGCATCTGAAACTTATATAATAATATATGCCAACTGTAGTTGAAAAAATTTTGAAAATTAAGTGCAAATAATGAATAAGGGAATGAATGTAACTCCTTCCTCACTCCATGCCTTTATTTACAAACTACTATAAATGTTGAAAATCATATGTGGTTTCTGAAATGTTTAGATAATTCTAAAGAGGAATGATTAATATTAATAACTGTACTTTGCTTGGCTCAAGTAAAATTTAAGAAATCCTGGCTAGTGTGAAAGGGCAATATAATGAATATTTTTATTTAATTTCCCTGAGTGAAACAGAGAGCACATGGGGAATTTTGGGCTTGTGCTTTTCTGCTGCAGACTAAGGAGGCCAGAGAAAAGCGATTTTTTTTCCAGACATGGAGCCAGTTTTGTATTCTCTTTGCTGATGAAATATTGAAGGCAGGGTGTGCTTCCTCCTCTCACATTTATGTGGCCCAGATTTGAAGTGGGCAGTGTGATTCTAAAGTGTGGAAATTTGAGAAAGCATGGTAACTTGGTCTGCAGCCTCCAATCTCTGTAAAATCTTTATTATTATTATTATTATTATTATTATTATTATTATTATTATTATTACCAATGACCTATTCAAAGGGTCAAGGCTCTAAATACTGAAAAGAAATACTTCTGAAAACGGGACATAAATAAGATGGTGATAAAATGAATGTCAGGTTAATCTATTCTGGCCAAATGTCTGAATATGTTTTGTGTTTGACCGTGACTGCTTAACTGTATAGCTTTTCATTGAAAGGAATAGATGCTGTTTGCATCATCTCTGTTTCTGTTAGTCTGAGAGCACAAACTCTCAGTAAGCCTGTGTATCTGATGGATATGAAGGTGGAGGATGAGGAAACTAGGGAGTGAAAGAAGAAATAAGAACAGGGAACCAACATAACCAGCAAGCTTGAATTATCCTAGACAACGCTCTAGTGGGTTACTTTAGTTGGTTAGAACAGCGCTCCTCAGACTTTTTAAAAAAATATTTTATTGGGGAATTGGGGAAGGGGACCAGCCAAGTTGTTGTTCTTCAGTCTTCATTGATGCCACCTGGCAGGCCGTCGGCAGCTCATGGCCTCTATAAGCTCACAGTGCCGAGTTCAGTCTTAGTTGCAGGTGGGCGTAGCCACCATCCCATGCGGGAGTTGAACCAGCAACCTTGTTGTTAAGAGCTCACACGCTATCCACTGAGCTATCCGGGTGGCAGCTCAGCTCAAGGTGCCGAGTTCAGTCTTAGTTGTGGGCGGGGGTAGCCCACCATCGAACAGGCAATCTTGTTGTTACACCAGCTGAGCCATCTTGCTGCCTGTTGGCAGCTCAGCGACAGCTCAGCTTGAGTGCAGCGTCATTATCCCATGTGGGAATTGAACCTGTGGCCCTGTTGCTCAGAGGTCGCGTTCTTAAGCCAACTCTTAACCAACTGAGCCACTCGACTGGCCCCTCCTCAGACTTTTAAGAGCATACAAATCCCCTTTGTACAAAATTGTATCACAATGCAGTTTCTGATGCTGCTGGTTGGGGGTGTGACCTGGAAATGTGTATTTCCATCAAGCTCCTAGGTGACGATGCTGCTGTTGACCTGAGAACCTCTCTTGGAGTAGCAAGAGTGGAAAGTTGGCTGGACCTCTTGGAGAAGGTCATGCTTTAAAAATTTCAGTAAAGATAACTTGTCAAAGGGGTAGCTAATTGTGATTTTATTTTATACCATCATTAAACTTTTGTTTCATAAAATTCAAAATCATTGACCAAAAATAAAAGCATACCTGACCATACCACCCTCAGATTTTTTATTCATTCCCTCCTTAATTTAGGTCCCTTGGTGAATACTCTGTAAGTTAACTTTGTTCCCTTGCCAGATAGTATCCTAACCCAGGCTATCATCTGGTTAACGTGTGAAAAGTCCAGGTGTTGCCATGTGGTCATGGAAGGGGCCCTTGAGAGGCAGATGGCTTCTAGTTCTGGCTCTCCCAACTAGATCTGGGACCTGGAACTAATTTTTTTCTTTGTAGAATGATTGTTGATATTTGTTTGGTGATGAAGTGAGAAAGCATCTAGCCTATTGCCCATAAAGGGCATTCGATAATGCTTAAGAAGATGCCCTTAGGACTACAACAAGCAGCTTTAAGTCTTACAGGCTTTGAGTAGAACAGGTCAGAGAGGAAGGGATTGAAGATAAAACATGCTCTGTGTATTAAAAGAAAGACTGCACTAAACTGCCCTCTTTCCTCTTTAATTGTGGTTTTGGTTGCTCACATTTACTGACAGTGTGATTTAAAACAAAAAAATACAGCACAAGTTGCTACCTGCTGGGAGCACTTCCCTTTGCTTTCCTCCCATCTGCCCTAACAGAGATGAGGGAATCAGTCAGGGGACAGCCATGTTGACCATGTCTCCTGTTTCCTTCCTTTGCAGGTTATTCCACAGCTGTTCAGAAATTTTCCCAGACACTGCAGTCCTTTCAGTTTGATTTCATTGGAGACACTCTGACTGATGATGAGATTAACATTGGTAAGTCTTCAGCTACATGAGACCATGTCCCTCTGGAGGCAGGTCTCAGACCACGCAGCCTCCTTGGTCTGTGCGTGCAGAGAGCATGGGCATCGTTAGCCCCTGTGGTCCAGTGCCAAGCTCATGGGAGGCAGCTTAAGAAAGTTAAGAAACATTCTCTCCTGGTCCCATTTCTTCCTCGCCAAAACCTCCTTAAACCTCCGTTGAGGCCTTTTACTCAGTAAGTCTGCAGGGGAGTTTTCTTTAAAGAATCTAATACATGAAAATATATATTTTTCCAAGGGTAGATTCAAGAGTGATTTTTTTCATTTATTTTCCGAAATGATTCAGAGTAAGTGTCTTCCAAGAAACACATTCCTTAGAAAGTTTAAAATTTGTATTCATCTATGTACAGCTTTTCAGGCGACAGGAGATTTAAGCCACACTTATTCCTTTAAGTATTGTCTATGGGTGCCTTTGCGGGACAAAAGTAGCATTGGGTACTAGTGGCAGGGACTATATGGCTTTCAAAGCCTAAAATATTTGGCTTCTGGCCGCTTAAGAAAAAGTTTGGTGACCACTGAGTTAAAGAATTAGTGTAAAGCATTTGTTAGATGAGAACATTGAACCACAGAACTGTTGCCAATGATGTGGTGTCACTGAAGCAAGTTAGTAACACAATTATATTTATATATACCAGGGATGCCAAAAAATGTATACACATGCCTTGTATTCATCTTTTGTTATCGGTATGTATTATTACAATTTTAATACAGTTTTTCCTTGCTTAAAATATCTATACATTTTTTTGGCACCCTGTGTATTTATGAACCCTGGAAATCAAATATAAAAATGTATTGTTATTTTTAAATTTATTTACAGTTGACATAGAATATTATGTTAGTTTCAAGTATACAACGTAATGAAGAGACATTTATATATGTTGTCAAATGAGCCCCGATTAGTCTAGTACCCACCTGGCACCTTATATAGTTATTATAATATTTTTTACTGTATTCCCCATACTAGATTTCATATCTTTCTGACTGTTTTGTCCAATTTTTATCACTTAATCCCTTCACCTTTTTTACCCAGTCCCCCAACCCCCCTCCCCTCTGGCAACCATCAGTATATTCTCTGTATCTGAATCTGTATTTTATTTGTTCATTTATTTTGTTCTTTAGATTCCATGTATAAGTGAGATCATAGGGTATTTGTCTTTCTCTGTCTGACTTCACGCACTTAGCATAATACCTTCTAGGTCCATCCATGTTGTTGCAAATGGTAAGATTCCATTCTTTTTTTATGGCCTAGTAATATTATATATACACACACACACACACACACACACACACACACACACACACACACACGCACGCACATATATATTATATATATATATTATATATATATATATATATTATATATATATAAAATGTTCTTTATCCAGTCGTCTATCAAAGGGCGCTTAGGTTGCTTCTATATCTTGGCCATTGTAAATACTACTGCAGTGAACACAGGGGTGCATATATCTCTTTTCAAATTAGTATTTTGGATTTCTTCAGATAAATACCCACGAGTGGAATTGGTGGGTCATAAAGTGGTGCCATTTTTAATTTTTTTTTTAAAGATTTTATTGGGGAATTGGGGAAGGGGAACAGCGCTGGGGAATCGGGGGAAGGGGAACAGACAAGTTGCTGTTGTTTTGTTTTTCAGTCTAGTTGTGGAGGATGTCGCTTCGCTGGCCCAAGCTGGCACCATCATTGCACTCTTTCCGGGTGAGGCAGATCAGTTGCTGGCCTCTGGACGGCCGCTCACGGCAGCTGCTGGCCGCTCATGCTGGCTGCTAGCTACACATGGTAGCTTATGGCAGCCCACTGCAGCAGGGGACTGCAGCCTACACCGTCACCGGTGACCCATGGCAGCCCAGCTCCAGGTCGAGGTGTTGTTCAGCATCTTAGCTGTAGAGGGCAGTGTCACTGGCCCTCATATATGGGATCCAAACCGGGGCCTCTGGCATCTCAAGCCAGCTCTTAACCAACACGCCACTTGGTCAGCCCCATTGTTAATTTTTTGAGGACCCTCCATACTGTTTTCTATAATGGCTGCACCAATTTGCAATCCCACCAACAGTGCACGAGGGTCCTCTTTTCTTCACATCCTCGCCAGCACTTGTTGTTTGTTGATTAATTGATGATGGCCATTCTGACAGGTGTGAGATGATATCTCATTGTGGTTTTAATTTGCATTTTTCTTTTTTTTTTTAAATCAAAAGTTTATTGGAATGACGATTGTTAGCAAAGTTACATAGATTTCAGATGTTGTTTGCATTTTTCTGATTATTAGTGACATTGATCATTTTTTCATATGCCTATTGGCCACCTGTATGTCCTCTTTGGAGAAATGTCTATTCAGGTGCTCTGCCCATTTTTTAATTGGATTTTTAAAATGTATTCAGCCATCTGTGTTTTTTTATTAGCATTTACATTTACATTTAATGCAGTTACTGGCATACTATATGGAGTTATTGTCATTTTCCTGTTTTCTGATTGTTTTTGTAGTTCTTCATTCCTTTCTTATTCTCTTGCTCTCTTCCTTGTATGCTGATGATTTTGTATAGTGTTATGATGGATTCTTTTCTCTTTTTTTCTTTTAATTCTCATAGATTTTTGGTTAGTGGTCACCATGTGCTTCATATATATAACCAAGCTGTGTTCATAGCACTCTATTTTAAGTTGATGGTCACTTATGTTTGACCACATTCTAGAATCACTACACTTTTTACTCACCCCCTCCACATTTATGTTTTTGTCATTATTTTTTACTTTTTTTAGTATGTGTTTGTTTGTATCCTTTAATCTATTGTTGTAATTACATATGACCTTCCTACTTTTGTTTTTTACCCTTTGTAGTAGCTTTCTAGTTGGTTGATCCACTGCTCTTATTAAGTGGTTTCCTTTGTCAGTGAGAAATTTTTCTTTCCTATATTTTCATATTCACATTTTTTATCTTTTCTTCTATATTTAAAGAAGTCCCTGTAACATTTCTTCTAATACTGGTTTGGTGGTGATGAACTCCTAGAGCTTTTTCTTGTCTGGGAAATTGTTGATCTCACCTTTGATTCTAAATGATAGCCTTGCTGGGTAGAGCAATCTTGGCTGCATGTCTTTGCTTTTCCTTAGCTGAGTCCACCCTTCTGGTTAGTCATTTGTGGAGCTGGTAGGGTGGTGCTGTGGTGTGTTCTGAAACTAGCCACCAGGTGAGTTGGGCCTGGGGCCACATGGGAAGATGTCCTGTGCAGGCCAAGTTTAGCTCCCACTTGTGTTGAGCTTTAGGCCACTTCGTAGGAGCTACAATGGAATCTGTGGTTGGTTTCCACTTATGTTGGGTTTGGAGGTGCTTGGGAGAGTTGGCACTGCAAAACAAGGCTAGCTGCCACTTGTGCTGGGCTTGTGGCTGCTTAATTGATGCTATGCTCCAGGCCAAGACTGGCTGCCCCTTATGCCAGCCTTGGTGCCATCTGATGAGAGTTAAAATGCAAGTTGAGATTGTTCACCACTTACGCTGGACTTGGAGCCGCTTAGCAATAGTTACAAGGCACACCGAGGCTGTGCCCTGCTTCTTTGGGGTTTGTGGATCTTTGAGAGATTTTGGAAGGACTGCTGCGTGAGCCAAGGCAGGTCACTTATGTGGAGGAGCCAGTGGGAGAGGCTTGGGTGGGGCGAGTGAGTTAGTTGGAACAGGTTCTCAGGGAATCACCTGGGTGCAGCGAATGTTGTTAGCCAGGTTAATGGAGAGCACCGATTTGGCTCCTGCTTTCACCAGGCCAGCTAGGTAGGAGGAACATTCAATAAAGGAACAGGGGTGCCTACCAGCATTTCCGTCCCCAGGGAGAATTGACCTCATCCCTGCCCCTCCAACCCTCACCCTGGAGATGGTATAGTTCCTCCCTGTATGTCCCTGGCACTTTGAGCTACTACCCCTGCACTGGAGCTTGGAGCGAGTGAGTTTGTGAGCCTGCATGGGCCCTTTAAGAGCAGCACCTCAGTCTGTAGCAGACTTTTCTTTTTTTCAGACTTAATCCCCACTGGTTTTCACAGCCAGATATAAGGGAACTCCTCTTCCCCCTCAGGTACTGGTGTCCTGAGCTCGGGAGCCAGGTGTGGTGCTGGGAACTCCACAGCCAGAATATCCCCCCAGATTCCTAATGTCTACATCATGGATGTGGGATCTGCGCAGTCCACAACTCCACCCTTCCTGCCAGTCTCGATGTGGCTTCTTCTCCATACCCTTAGTTACAGGAATTCTGTTCGGCTAGTCTGCAGGTGGTTCTCAATGATGGCTGTTCTATAATTTAGTTGTAGTTTTGATGTGACTGTGGAGGAGGTGAGCACAGTTTACCTACTCTATCATCTTGACAGGAAGTCGCCCACAAATGTAGTATTATTAAATGTTGCTTGTATTAAACATGAATAATATATAAAAGTATAAAATATCATATGACCCAGCAATCCCTCCCCTGAGTATCTAAAACATTTATCTGTAAAGACATACTGTATTTCCCCACATGTAAGACGTGCTGTTTTTCGAAAAATTCGGGGCCTGAAAACTGTGTGCGTCTTATACAGTGGTTGTAGATATTTTTTACATGCATTTCCCTCTTTTTTCGTGCTTGTTTTTGCGCTCATACAACCACTGTACAAGACGTACCCAGTTTTTAGACCCCACATTTTTCAAAAAAGCGTGTGTCTTATACATGGGGAAATACGGTATGTGCTCCGATGTTCACTGCAGCTTTATTTACGGTGCCAAGACATGGAAATAACCATAGTCTCCTTTGATAAATGATTGGATAAAGAAGATGCGGTATATATACATAATGGAGTACTATTCTGCCCTAAGAAAAGATGAAATAGTGCCATTTGCGATAGCATGGATGTATCTTGAGATTTTTATGTGAAGTGAAATAAGTCAGACAGAAAAACTCAAGAACCATATGATTTCATTGATATGTGGTATAT